TTGAAGCAATTCTTGGACTCCACTTTTAGAATCAAAGACTTGGGACCTCTAGGCTACTTCCTAGGGATTGAAGCACACATGGGAAAAGATGGTTTAAGCTTGTGCCAGAGGAAATATGCACTGGAAATATTAGAAGAAGCTGGTTTCCTTGAGTGCAAACCGGCAGCTACACCCATGATTCCAGGTCTAAAACTTGTACACGATGAAGGTACCTTGCTCAATGATGCTAGCATATATAGAAGGTTGATAGGGAGACTTCTATACCTTACTGCCACTAGGCCTGATATCGCGTATGCCCTCCAACAGCTTAGCCAGTTTGTAGATGCTCCCACAGACATACATTTGACAGCGGCTCACCGAGTTCTACGATATATTAAAGTCTCACCTGGTCAGGGATTAATCTATCCCTCACAAACCAGTTTACATATCAAAGCCTTCTCGGATTCCGATTGGGCGGCATGCAATGAAACACGCAAATCCGTCACTGGTTTTTGTATTTTTCTTGGCTCCTCTCTTATATCTTGGAGATCAAAGAAGCAAGCAACTGTCTCGCGCTCTAGTTCAGAAGCTGAATACCGCGCTCTTGCAGCCACCGTGTGTGAAATACAATGGCTTACATACTTACTCCTTGATCTCAAATTCTCGATTACTAAGCCTGCAGTTCTATTTTGTGACAGCAAATCTGCGGTGGCTATTGCAGAGAATTATGTCTTCCACGAACGCACCAAACATATAGAGATTGATTGCCACGTGGTTCGTGAGAAGATAACCAAAGGATTGATCAAGCTCTTATCTGTTTCAACTGAGAATCAAACTGCTGACGGCTTCACAAAGCCCCTCCCCACGTCTCTGTTTCGCAGCTTCATTAATAAGCTTGGCATACAAAACTTGTACGCTCCAGCTTACCGGGGGGTATTGGAGAAGACAAATACACCCTCAGATGAAATAAAGAAGTGAGGGTGTTTGTGTAATTAGGCTAGCCAAGAGTCTGTTACAACTGATTGTAACTGCCTTTACCGCTCAATTGGCTTTGTACTTAAGCTTTGCTTTCTTCTCCTTTTCGAGCTAATGAAACAGTGTTACTCTTCTCATTCACAATCCCATCTTCTTCATCTGAATACTTTCTGCTTCATTCATTATTACAAAAATAATTTCATAGATCAGATTTGGGGTTCAAAACAAAAATTAAACCAAAATCTGATGGAATAGTCTTTCCATCTACCTGAAACGTTAGAACCCGACGCTCTAGCCTAATCATATGTAATAATATTATCACACATTATGTTCATAATATGTTTTCTATATATTCATAAATCTAGTTCTTAATATCCATAAATATTAAATTAAATGCATTTTGTATGTATTTTCATTCTTTAGAATAGGTTCATAATGTTCCTTCTATGTCGTATTATGCAATTAAATCCTTAGTATGTTTAATTGAAGCATGGGGGACTTGTGTTCAATTACGACCTCTTCCTATGTTTCCGAATATGCAAAGCTGATAACCAAAAAACATTACACACTACAGAACTTACATACTAAGGAGATGGAATAAAATTAAGATTATTATATAAGTTCCTGCATACGGACATCGAACAATGACAACCTTCTCAATTCCTGGAAAGCAGACAAGAAACACCTTGATAGATTGCATTTCAGACCTCATCCCAGTAAAATTTCCAAACTTCAAAGTGCGAAACATTTTCAGCGAGCAACACCGCTAAGTTCCTCCATAAGCATAAAATCCTATGAATTTATCTTCAAATACTAATAACAGAACATAAAAAATAAATAATCAATTAGTTCATAATTTGCATCAAGAAATGCAACAATAATGGAAACAATCAGAATTGAATGGAACAGTGTATATATATATATATATATATATATATATATATATATATATATATATATATATGATAGAATAACAATATTCTAAAAAAAAATAGAATAATATATGAAATAATTATTTAAAAGGACAATAACTAGGCTTATTAGAGATTTCTCTTCTTCCAAAAGGTTGAATCCCAAACCTCAAAGGATTTCTTTTCTTCTAAATACATTGAGCTAAGCTCATACGGGCACCCCAAAAATTTCTCAATATATCAATTGTTAGTCTTTATAATGCATTCTTGGCTCCCAAGGTCCTTATTGCCTTGCTTATATCATAATCTTGTGTTTTTGCCCGTGTTGAATGACGGCAAATTATACTGTGCACCAGGGTGCACAATGCATTGTGTGTCCTGGCTCAAAACAACGTCATTTTGTACATTTTCGCATGTCTGCTCTTAACTCCTTAACAAAAAAAAAATAATAATAATATTTTGAATGTACAGAATTGTATAATAGAATACACAGAATTTTATACTTGAAAACACAGAATTTTATACCTGAAAACACAGAATTTATAACTAAAAATTCTCATGTTTCGAATGTACAAAATTTTATACCTGAAAACACATAATTTTATAACTGAAAATTCCCATGTTTTGAATGTACAGAATTATATAATAGAATGCACAGAATTTATACCTGAAAACATGGAATTTTATAACGATTGGTTGAATGACACAAGTCAATAATATTAAGAGTAAATACCCAAAATGGTCCCTCGACTATAGCTAAATTCACAAATTGATCATCGACTTTCAATTTCAACCAATTAAGTCTTTAACTTTGCAATTTTAACGCGATTTGATCCTCCGTCTATTTGACCGTGATCTCTGAGGATATATATGTAATTTCATGGTCTATCGCCGGTTTTTTAAGGTTTCGGTTACATTTCCAGACCGCACTGTTACATTTGAATCCACTGCCGAAAGCAATATGCCAAATGTTGTCGCCTTTCTTCATCCTCCCTTTGGATTCAATGTAGTTAAGTTCGTACCAGACCGAAGAAGACGACGTGTTTTCGAACCACAATCTGCCAAGTCCACGTGCTCCGAAGAGAGTTGCAGGTTCTTCTGGAGATTGTCAATGACGGCACGGCCATCGGCGTTGATGCAGAAGTGTTTGAAGGCTTGTTTGAAGTCTGGAATGTAGGGTTTCCATTTGGGATTGAAGATTTTCCGACCGACGATGGACCATGAAATTACATATATTTTCTCAAAGATCACGATCAACAAACGGTTAAATAGACGGAGGACTAAATCGTGTTAAAATTGCAAAGTTAAGGACTTAATTGGTTGAAATTGAAAGTCAAGGACTAATTTGTGAATTTAGCTCTAGTCGAGGGACCATTTTGGGAATTTACTCTAATATTAATCTCAATAAGAGACCAAGACTATGTGGTCTAATGTTATTTGGGTTGAACTTCCATTTGGAAAGTTGTGAGTTCAAGCTTCAGTGGAGGTGTTATTGATTTTTTGTGTTTCAGTAGGTTGAGAAAGTATATGAACAGATACTACATTGTAATAGAGCCAGTAGCATTCAAAGAAAATCTCAATAAGAAAGAAATATCATTTCTATAGCAATTTTTTTTAAAGAACTCCTTTAATTTATTGTATTAGAATATCAAGAAAATTATCTCTCTATAAGTATAGCAATATTTATTATCTAAAATACCTTCATAAAATTTTGTCTATTCAGATGTGAAAATATTTTTTTAGAAAAAGTAAAAAATAAAAAGAATTTCTTTGAAGTTTTTTTTTTTTTTTTAAATGTGAAATTCACCTTACCTAACTATATACATGGGGTCCTTAAATGAAGTAAGTTAAATGTTCGTTTGGAAACTTTGGAAACTTGAAAAATGTTTTTTAGAAAATGATTTATTTTTCAAAAAATATCTTAAAATTATCTTTTTCTGTTTGACTTTCTGTTTAGTTCATTTTCCTGAAAATGATGATGATGATAATATGTTGTAATGGTGGTGGGGGTGTTGGTATTAGTGGTTGTGGTTTAGTAGTGGTAGTGCTAGTGTTGGTAGTTGTGGTAGTGGAAGTGGTGTGGTTGTGGCGGTGATGGTGTAGTGGTGATGGTTATAGAAGTCTTTTTTTGAATTTCCAAACGAATCCTAAAGCAGACAACAAAATTAAGATAGAATAAAGTATACTAATGCAATAAGAACTAAGAACACACCTTATACCTAACACACATTCACCCTATCATCATCCGAGACAAAATCTAGTACTCATATACATTCAAGGTTGACATTCTTCAGGTCTACTGCTTAGCAAAATTAGATGTCATCCTTATCTTACAAATGTTTACAACAATACAGGACAACCATTGATTACATTTCTACTCTAAACCAGGCAATGGAGCTGCACCATACTCAATTCCTAAAGTCTTATCTCATCAGATAAACATGTCTACAACTCAACAAGAAATGAAAATTAAGTACAACCATGAGGAAATTAAGAAAAAGGAAAATCATGATTGCCAAATATATACTCTATAGGATCGGTTTCTTACTCCACAGGGAGTACATAGAGTAAATTTCAAAACACGGCATCAGGCAGGCATGGTGCAAGAGATCAAATGTCATTTATCATGTTCACCAGAGCTACGCTTTTATCATCTTTGCATCTTTCGGCACTCTAACGAGTCCCCATTGACCACAATTTTCCCATAGCCCAACCCAACATGGAGCCATCGTGTTCCATGCAAACAATTTGGGCTTTTGGAGATGCACGAGGAAAACGCAACAACTCCCTTAGGCTTTTGACAGCTACGGATGTGTCAATATAACCAGATTCCATAATAAAAACTATCTCTAGTGCGGGGGATTTTGAGAGCAACATTTTTACAAAAAGCATTTCGACTGTGGATCCACTAAATGATCCAATCTTGATTGTGTTAAGCATCATTAGATCCTGAACAATAAAGCAACCATTTGGATCCTCCAAAAGTCTTGAAGCAGCTTCTTTATCACTTTTGCATTCTTCCTATAACTCAAGAAGAAATGAAAGACATGGACAACTCTGAGGACATTTGAGAAAGAAAAAACAGAAGAATCATATATATACATGCATGATTGCCAAATTAAATGTATACTCAACCTGATCAGCCATAATTCTCAATTCACATAGGTTGGGGCACTTTTGAAGCAATTGCATGACGACGGTGAGTTGCTTTCCACAACCAAAACTTAACTCATCCAACCCCAGTACTAGAAGATTTATTGCAGTCGCAAACAAAGATGCGTCCATATACTTGAAAGATGGTAATAAAGAAAGAAAAAAATTAGGCAGACAATTAAGAACTTTAACAATTAAGCCAGAAGGAAACCATCCATTTGCATAAAGTAAAATGTGGAAGATTAGATTCTCACCAGCAAGGAAGAGCCACACAACCAAAGAGCCTTAATTGCTTTCAAATGTGGTGTCAACCATCTTGATTCAACCACACCATGCACAGAATGACGAACAGATAAAATTTCAAGTTTTGGAGCGCTGATCTCAAATTTATTAATCCCTCGACAATCAAATAAATCCAGCCTCTCAAGATTAGGAATACTAATACTAGAGGCAGTTCCATTAACAGTGCGTCTAAATTCAACACCCCAGCAAAATAATTTAGTGTCATTGGAAAATATACCACCAACATTATTTACCGGCAAATCAATAAAGGGAACATCGACCAGAAGTTGCTTAATTGTGGGGCACGAGAGTATACAAAATGGCAGCTTATATTCAGCCTCTCCATTAAAAAATCCTATGTTAAGCTCCTCCACACCATTTCTTGATAGAAAAAGACACCACTTATTGAAATCGGACTGCCGAAGCTCAGGACAATAACTATCAATCAATAGAGTAAATTTCTTAACCGGTCCAGCACGGGAAAGGAGAATATTATTTATTATGTCAACCAGAGTTCTGCCTACATCATCGCAGGGCTGAAGGGCGAAGGCTGATTGTTGAACTAGTGTCGATTTTGAAGATTTTACATTAATTATTTATTTATTTAAAATTTGAGTTAGTTGATAGTTTCAAACTAAATTAAGAAATTTTATAAAAATTTTAGTTATTAATTGAATCATGTATTTTGGTTAAAAAACAATTAATTCAAATTCATTCAAACGATCAGTTAATTGAACTTCTATCAAAGTTATGCACTCCCATTTAAAATGTTTAAATTAAAGGAATATATTATTATTAATTTTAAAAATAGGGAGAACTGTCAAATAGGCCATCTACTGCTGTCAAGTGCTCAATTCCCACCACGAACTAAATTAAAGGCTAATTAACCACACTTACTTGCTAAATTTGTTTATTTGACTTTTTTGCAGGTTCCTAAAAGGTTACCAATTCAATTATTAAAAAAATAATTAAAAAATAAATTAAAAAAAAAAAAAAAAAAAAACAAAACAAAACAAAATTTCAGCCACCGGCTAGGACAGCCGGTGGCTGAGTATTCACGACTGTCATGTTTGAGATCCAGATCTGGACCTCAAGCCGAACAGCCGGTGGCTGAAATTTCGTTTTTTTTTTTAAATTATTTTTAATTATTTTTTAATAATTGAATTGGTAACCTGTTAGCAACCTGCAAAAAAAAGTCAATTGAACAAATTTAGCAGGTAAGTGTGGTTAATTAGCCTTTAATTTAGTTCGTGGTGAGAATTGAGCACTTGACAGCAGTAGATGGGCCTATTTGACACTTCTCCCTTAAAAATAGGCAAATTATGTTGTGCATCCGTATGCACCATGCATGGTGCATACGGATGCAAAAACGACGCCGTTTTATTAAAAACGCGCGTCTCCCCTTAAAAAAAAAAAATTCAAGTTCGATTCCTAGCAACAACATATGAACTAAAATTCCAGAATCGATGAACTATAATTCCATAATCGATGAACTATAATTCCATAATCGATGAACTATAATTCCAGAATCTAATCTATGAACTAAAAATTCCAGAATGAATGAACTAAAAATTCCAGAATGAATGAACTAAAATTCCAAAATCTATGAACTAAAATTTCAGAATCGATGAATTACAATTCCATAATCGATGAACTATAATTCCATAATCAATGAACTAAAATTCCATAATCTATGAACTAAAATTCCAGAATGAATGAACAACATAATGCTGTTGCTGGGAATCGAACTTGAATTTTTTTTTAAGGGGAGACGCGCGTTTTTAATAAAACGACGTCGTTTTTGCATTCGTATGCACCATGCATGGTGCATACGGATGCACAGCATAACTACTCTCCAAAATATGATAATTGCTCCTCAATTCTCATATTGTTTTAAACTTGCAGGGGAATAGGCTCTAGGTCCATAGCCAATTGAATTTGAGGAATTGAAACCCAAAAGTTAATTAGATTATGAGAATAATTGAAATCCATAAGTAAGGTTTTTAGGCCTAGATTAGGGTGTGCATCATTTGATAAAAACACAATTAACCGATATAATTGAAAATTTTTGATTAATCATTTTTAGTCAAAATATTTTGGTTCATTATTTATATATTGATATTATGACTATTTTATAAGTATGAGTTGAAAAATCTTTATATAAAATTATCTACTAATCTACTAAATATAATAAGAGCCAATGAAGATAAAGGATATAACGTGTAATTGTTTGGAACAATAAGGGCATCCTCAATAGTTGGAGATTTTATCCTAGATTTTTGTGGGCCCAAACATCCACTATCTCACTCAATCACATGAAGATAAAGGATATAACGTGTAATTGTTTGGAACAATAAGGGCATCCTCAATAGTTGGAGATTTTACCCTAGATTTTTGTGGGCCCAAACATCCACTATCTCACTCAATCACAAAATCTCTTCTTCCCATTAGTTTTAAGTTTTTTCACAACTTTTTGTAGACCCATCATTTTAATATCCTATATTTTAATTATCATTCTAAAAATTTATAGTGTAATTATAATTATAAAATTGACGAAATGTTATTGATAATTATAAATTTAATAATAACTAGTAATTCACCCGCGCGATGCACGGAAAAAAATTATACTATTATAAATATAAATAGAAAATAAAAAAATTAAAAATATTTTAAATTATTTAATATAATAATATTTTTGAGCTTCCATTGGTCAAGTATTTATTATTTTTATAGAATACAAAATTACAATTAAAATTATAATTATAATTATAATTATAATTTTGTATGATTAATATAATCACTAATTATGTGCATATTCAAATAAACTTATAGAGATAATTTACATAATTACATTGATTTATTCTTAATTGTATTTCATCTATATTATAATTTTCACAATACAAATAATAACTAAGATAATTACATTTGGAAAGCAAATTTCAAATTTTGTATGTGTAAATTTAAACTCTAATTGAACACATTTTTATATGATTATATAATATATAGCTATTTTATTTTTTAAATATTGTGTTTTTTTTTTTAATAATAAAGGATGTTGTAGCATTAATTATAACATTAATTATTTCCCAAACCATATAGCTTTATTATATAAAGGATATTATTGATAATTATGAATTTAATAAATAAAAAGAATAAAAAAATTAATAACACTGTATGTTATATTAACTAAAAAAATTAATAATAATAAACAATCATAACTGGCCGTTGCAATGTAACGGCCAGTTTTTAGGAAAAAAAAAAAACAAATGAAACATACAGTGTGGATGTTGGGGCCCACGACGTACGGTCAATCAGCAGGAGAGAGAAGCAAAAGGATGAAGCAATATGACAGAATCTTCTTATTTGCAGGAGAAAGAAATTTGTAAAATCTCCAATCCCCATTTGTCAAAATTAAGCAAGAAAATTTTACTATTTCAAAATCTATGATTGCTCTAAGTTTTACATTTTGCTTACCTTTTTGTACAATTATAAAATCCTTCTTCATTTGCATATCCTTACCCTTTTTTTTTTTTTTTTTTTCATAATGGCATAATAGAAGATACGAAACTTAACAATTAACAATATAAAATTTAACATTGTTACGTTGTTTTCCATAAGGAGTTTGATCCCATTTCATTCACACAATTTGTTAAGATAATTTAATTAGCATCTTCTACCAACACAACATGGACTCATTCTTAGCACCGCAAAAATAACTTTCGTGATTTTTAATCTAATTTTTGTCCAAAATAAAATTTTATTGAACCAACATAGCAAATACTAAAATAGAACATGTACTAAATTAATACCAAACAATTTCGTACTAACAATCTCCCCCTTTGACATATGTTGATCAAACAGAAACAATATCCCCTTTACAGCAAACAATTCCCCCTAAATAACATGTCTTCCCCTGAGCTTTTACGAATGTTCTCTCCCTTAAACCAAGGCAAGGTTTACACAAAATTCTTACAAAATTTCCAGTACAAAGTACTCAATGCTCCCCCCCCCTAAATTGTCATACTTCTTCCCCTTTTGATTAACATAAATCAAAGGTAAAAATCCTATGATTTTGGCATGCACGCCTAACATCATGCAACTATCTTTATTGTGACTAATAAGACCACCAGATGTAGGAAGCCAGAAATACACATGCAATACCATAAGTCCTTACCAGTGCAGAGATAGTAGCAAGATACCTTAGCACCAAAAGTGATATGAGTGTGTTTTTGGGATGGAGATGTATTTGTTTGGTTTCAAGATCAAGAATATAATGATGTATCAAGCTCAACAAAAATTTCCTTTTTAGACTTTTTTCAGTGAATTCAAGACAACTGTGTTTGAACTGAGAAGTGAACATAGTTCATTTTGAACTTCATGCTGGGGAGAATAGATTTCACATTGGATAGCTTTCACATAGACTCTTCTCGGTTCTTTTGAACCTAGCCAAGCACCAGGTAGCCCTCTTCCAGGTAGTCATTTTCTACCACATTTTGGCCTGAGAATGTCAGCATAGAGAGAAGTCCTTTTTGGACCCTTTGACTTGTGTAGATTGCTGACCAATTTGGTCAGGAGTGTTTACATCAAATTTTGATATGCTAGAATGTTATCACTTTGAGTACCAAAACAATTCAAATTGCCATTTTGTCCACAAGCTTGCAATGACCCAGATATCTACTTTACTACTACCCATATAAGATAGTGATAGTACCCTATAAAAGACACGTAGCAAAAATTAAGCATGCATAACCCAAAACAGTAAGAAGAATACTTAGAGACATTTCTTCTTCTTCTTCTTCACTTCTTCTTTATGTATAACAAACTTTCAAGAAAAAAAATTAGTAAAGCATAATTTACACAAAAAATTACTTCAAAGGTCATTTCAAAGTGCACAAACCATGTTTGTGCCGAAGTTTTCAAATCTAGTATCATAAAGAGCTTTTAGTCATGAAGTTCTCAAATCTAATATCATAAAGAGATTTTAGTGTTCCTTGCCCAATGATTCCTCCTTTTTAACCGTCACTGAATGTGATTTGACCAACATACTCTTCAGAGATATTTTTGAGAAATCCCCTATTTCTTGTCATACGGTGAGAACACCCGTTGTCAGAACACCATGACAACAAAGACATGGAGAGACTTGCAGCGCACCTTTGTCCTCCATACTTTCTTTTGCACTTAAATTTCATTGAATTGTGTAAATTTCATTGCTTGGAAAACCAAGTGATATTTCAAAAATATAAAATTACATAATTTATATCCCCTTAAATTTAATACAATAAGAAATAAGAGTCTTAAATTCAAAACTATCAAAATGGACTCAACCAGTTGGGTTGGACCCATTTAGCCCGCTTTTTAGGCCGATTGTGCAATCCATTTTGTTGCCCCGTATATATATTTTAAAAGATTAATATAAAACATTATGCTTTGTCTAGCCTTTAACGGTTTAACCTATACATTATACAATAATCCATTAAATTTGTTAGTTACCAATTGTGCACTCTCTGCGATTGTGGTTTGAGGCAATAAGACAAAGGAAAAGATGAAAAAGTAAAATGAAATAATTCAAAGAAGTTATAGTCTTAGAAGAATCTAGTTTATATTTAATCTGATCAAAATTTTTTATGTATGTCACATTTTAAGTCAAGTTTAGACTAGGATTATGTGGTCTAATGGTACCCGGGTTGAACTTCTATTTGGAAGGTTGTAAGTTTGAGTCTCAGTAGAGGCGTTATTGCCTCTTTTTGTATGTGTTTCAATAGGGTGGGACTACAATCTAATAGAAAGTCAAGTTTAGAGGTACTTTTTTTTTTTTTTTTAATTATTGAACCCCAAATTAAACTATTGTACAGATCTCCTTTTATCCTGTAGTTATACCATTGACCAGTGTCCACCTTGGCCCTTGCAATGTAGACTTTATACAAAATCTTTACCTTCTTTTTTTGAAAACAATCTTTACCTTCTTAATTATTCATTATCATAGATATATAAATTATTACTATAAATACACAAATTTACTATTGTAAGGAAATAAATTCACTATTGTAGCCAAGGACCTTGTGGTAACACCAAGTTGCTCCCTTATATACGAGGTTGTGAGATTATTGTATCTACATTCTTGGAGAGTCTCCTGCTTATGAATTCAAAATACTTCACCCTCAATAAAAGTTAGGTCCATCATAGCCTTTAATCTACCACGACTTAAGTACCAACTGAGTTGTCGAGACAGATTCAAAATACTTTACAACATAATACTTACCGAACAATATAGGAAACAAGGTACCATCCTTATCTTACAAGATTAATATTTCAACTTCCACCCCAAACATGACCTTACAAATCTATGTTGCATCCAAACTGACCCATGGAACTTCATCATACTAAATTCCTACAAGGTTAAAACCATATGTAATTAAATAGTCCGGACACGGTGTCGTCGTGTTCCACGCAAACAATCCGGGCTTTCAGAGATGCACGAGGAAAATGCAATAATTCCCTTAGACTTTTGACAGCTTCGGAGGTATCAATATCAGCATATTCCATAATTAAAAATCTCTCTAGTGCAGGGGATTTCAAGAGCAACACTTTCACAAAAAGCTTTTCGGGTATAGATCCACTAAACCCTTCAATCATGACTGTGTTAAGAATCTTCAGATCCTGCTTTAAAATGCAACTGTTTGGATCATCCAAAAGTCTTGTACCCGTTGTAATTTCACACATACACTGCTATCACACAACAAGAAATGAGGAAAAGAAACAATCATGATTGCCAAATATGTAGTCCATAGGTTCCGTGTCTTACATTATCTGATGCAGTCATCTTCAGCTCACATAGGTTGGGGGAATGTTGAAGCAACTGCAAAACAAAGGCAAGCTTCTCTCCACATGAAAAACTTAACTCATACAGCTCAATCACTCGCAAATTTATTGCGGTCGGGAATGTCGTTGTGGCTATTCCTGCATTTTTACACTTAAAAAAAAAAAAATCATATGTGCATTGGAGAACTCTGTCAATACTAACAATCAATCCATTTGCATAAGCTACTCATAAAGGAAAAGAATGCAAAAGTAGAGATTCTCACAGGCAACAAATTGGCACTCAAGCAAAGAGCCTTAATTGTTCTCAAATACAGGGTAAACCACCTGGAATCATCAAGCTCCCAACACAGAGAACCGATAACCCTCAAGCTTTCAAGTTTTGGACTGATGATCTCAAAATTAGTGATCCCTTTACAACGACTGAAAGACAGCTCCTCAAGATTAGGAATTCTGTACACAATTCCCTTAACATTATCACTAAATTCAGCATGCTTGAAAGCTAATGAAGTGGCGCTGGGAAATATACAACCAGGGATCGACAAATCAAAAATTAAATCACCCAGAAACAGTTGCTTAACTGTCCGGCAGGAAAATATACAAGATGGCAGCTGATGATTATCCGAAATAAACAAGCTAAGTTCCTGTAGACCATTTCTGGAAAGAAGACGACACCACCTATCTAAATCAGATTGCTGGGGCTTAGGATCCGATGCGTGCCGAATGTGTAAAGTAAATTTCTTAACGGGTCCACGGAGCATGAGAATATCATTTATTGTGCTAATCTGAGCCATACCTTTCTCACCTTCGTACTTTGAGAAGCATTCGAAGAAGTCCTTATCAAATACAAGCTGCCCATGCCGCAACCAAACATCGTTCCAGTGAGTCGAGAGCAGAGCAGTTCTGGCCGCGTCTCGAGTAGGCAAGCACTCCAAAATCCTTTCCTTCACTTCTGCTGGCAGTTCACTTATTGCATCCATTCCTGCACCCGCTTCGGATTTTCTTCGACGACAACTCGCCATTAAACTGGAAACCAAAGATAAAATCGCTCGATCCCCATTCCAATTCAGTTCACTAGATGATGGAAACAAAAGAAATTTCGAAGAATTTGGGAAGAAAAAAAGAGATTAGGGAAAATGTGTCAGAAACCCTCGCCTTCTCTGCTCCACTGTCTACTGACTGGATATTTTGACTTTTGAGTTTGGAAATGGGAAGAATACAGGAAAACTTGGTGCAGGTGTGGTTTATAAATAAAAGTATAAATTCATTAAAATAAATTATTTGAAAGTAATTTATTTGAATAGTGATAATACATTATAAAAATATTATGTGTGTTTCAATTTTTTTTCTCTCAATTTTTACTCCCCACATAAAATTATATTGAGACCCACATGAAAAAGTAGCTTATCAATGCTTGTCACATGAATAAAAATTTAGGGAGTAAGATTTGAGAGTCCATGTATTAGAACTCAATACATTATTTTGTATACTATGAAATCAAGTACATTCAGTACACAAATAATATACTTTTAGTATATTAAAAATGTACTTTATATTTATGAAAAATACATTATTTGAATATTGAAAGTTTATTATTTTATATAATATACATTCAGTGTACAAATAATGTACTTTTAGTACATTAAATATGTACTTCTTTATGGTTGCCTTGGACGGTAACATTGGGCTAATATTGTAATGTTAATTAATTTATCAAGTAATTGCAAAGTTATAAAAATATTTCTCAAAAATTTAATTGATATAAAAGTATCAAATGGTCTCTCAGTTATAACAGGATCTCATAGTTCTATTCGGAGGTAAGGGGAGGGGGAGCAATATATGGATAACATTTATACTACTTAGAATTCATAGGCAAGATTTATAATTCATCTATACTTTACTTGAGGGCATAAATTATAATTTGCTCAATATTTAATCGTTGCATATTTCTGAATGTCACTTCATTTTGTTTTGAATATATTAATTTTTATTCTTGTGGACTTTTCTATTGATGATCTTATGCTTGAGAGCCTCTCATTTATGTGAAAATGATTGTGACTACTAGTTGGCCCATATATGGCAGGAATATTTTTTACTATCAAACCCCTTTTATTAAGGCCTTAACATTGTCAAATAAACTAATTTATTTAGGGCAAGAAATGGCACCATATTGAAGTAATTTATTAAAAAAAAAAAGAAAAACATATAGACATTATATATTTGATTAATATAAGAATTATGTTTGATTTCACTTAGATTTTAATTAAATGTTTTCATAATTGTAGTTAGTAATTTATCATATATAAAATTTTTACTTTAATAATATTAATCATACAATAATTATTACTCAAATTATCAACTATACTTTTAATATAATAGGAATTTTACAACTATGATTTTTTTTTAAAAAAACTATTATTTTAAAAAAATATTTTAATATAATTAAAATTTTAACATTGAGTATTAATGTTGGGCATATATTTTTGTGCATCGCGCACATAAAATACTAGTATTCTCATATAGCCGAATAAGATTAATCGAATTAAATTTTGGTTATTGTCATGATATTAAGGCAAATTATTGTGTCGACCATTGCCACACAGTACTGTGTGGACCATAACAAAAAGTACATTTTTAATATACTAAAAGCACATTATTCGTGTAATGAATTTACATTATACAAAATAATGTATTTTCTGTACTCAAATAATGTATTTTTCCTGAATACAATGTATACTTTTAATATAAAGTAAATTATTTGTATATTATTAAATATACCATGTAGTGTGATGACATCCCTGAACAGATATTTTACTTGTAAAGAATCATGAATATTATTTGATAATATAGCCTACACAACTGTGGACTATAATGATATTTAATTGCAATACTTGATATGACAAGCTAAGTTGTCACGTTTGGGGTACGTAGGAAATGATCATGAATATTATTTGATAATATAGCCTACACAACTGTGTGGACTATAATGATATTTAATTGCAATACTTGATATGACAAGCTAAGTTGTCACGTTTGGGGTACGTAGGAAACGATTTTCATCAATGAATAAGGTGGGTTTCCATCCCGCCATAACGCCAAAAAGAATGGTGTAAGGTGGGTTTCCATCCCGCCAATGAACAGTGCAACGCTATATTCATCCGCGGAAAATTCTAAAGGGAGAGGAAAATGATCCTTTTGCCCTTGCTTCTTTTTATAATTCCAAATGTATTCTTTATTTGTTTTATATGTAATGTTTTATTTTGTTAAATACTTATATTTAAACTTTGTATTATTAAATAAAAATTATACCATTTTAAAGATCTCATTGAGACGATCGAAACAAGACTAATATTGAATATATATTAATTAAAATTCCAAATACATTAAACATAACTAGAACATAATAAAAGTTAAAATACATACGACATACATCAAACATGACTAGAACATAATAAAAATTAAAATACATACGACATAATAATAATAATAATATTAGAAAATACAACACAATTTTGAAAAAATATAATAAAATTAATAATTTTCTAGTCCACTCCCACTTCCTCCCAAATTATCAAAGTATTTATCAAATTCACGATTTGATTGAACTCCTCCTCCATGCTCTTGATTTCTCTCTGCATTAATTTGTAGTTGTTGGCGTCTAATCGACTCACGCACAGCTGGATCTTCTATCAAATTTAAATTTATTATGCACTCCGCAATGCATTGATTGAGCATTTGTGGGAACGATTTAGTAATTCCGATAATTAAATGTACTAGATGTTGTATGTTGTATTATTATTGTGGAATAAATTAAATTTTCAAAAATATTGTTAAATTCAATTTTTTAAAATAATTAATGTTATAATTATGTTAAGTCGCTAGTCTGTTTCAGTTCTAATGTTGATGAAAATTGTAGGAGCATGGTAACAGGTGTCCTAGGAGTACAGGCGGGTGATACAACAGGGAAGTATCTTGGCTTGCCATCTTTGGTGGGCCGGAATAAGAAGGCGATTTTGGGGTTTGTAAAGGATAAGATTTTGAGTCGGGTGCGTGGCTGGAACTCCAGGTTTTTGTCGCGGGCAGGGCGAGAAGTCTTGCTCAAGAATGTTTTGCAAGCCTTACCATGTTATGCTATGTCAGTGTTCTTGTTGCCTGATACACTATGTGCTGAAATAAAGAGGATTTTTAATCAGTATTGGTGGACTGGAGTGGTTGGTGATTGAAGGGGACTGCGGTGGAAATCGTGGCCAGCTTTGTGCGAGCCGAAAGCAGCAGGGGGGTTGGGATTCAGGAGGTTGAAACATATGAACCTTGCATTACTGGGTAAGCAAGCTTGGCGGTTCTTAACACGCCCAGACTCCTTTGTGGCACGAGTGTTTAAGAGCCGCTATTTTCCGAATACGACTTTTCTTGATGCAGAAACTGGCAGCAATCCGTCGTATGTATGGCGTGGGATAGTGGAGGCGAGAGATGTGGTGAGACGTTGGGCAAGGCGTAGTGTCGGAGATGGCAGGAGTACGGTAATTGGGACGCACCTGTGGCTTGTGACTGCGGAGGATCCATATGTGCGTACCCTTTTGCACCCCACGATAGAGCATTCAATGGTTAGTTCGTTGTTGAGAGATGACAGCATGGGATGGGATACGGACTGTGTTATAGATGTGTTTGATGAGAGGGACACAAGGTGTATCCTCAATATTCCAGTCAGTATTCGGCGCCCAAGTGATGCATGAGTATGGAGTGGTGATTCGAAGAGGTGTTACACGGTGAAGTCATGCTATCGTCTAGTAGTTGGGGAGATGCATGTGGGGAGGCCTTGGAATAAGTTATGGAGTCTGGATGTGCCACCAAAGGTACGCCTGTTTGCTTGGCAGCAAGCTGCGAACGTTTTACCAACACGAGATGCTTTATTGTCTAAGCGGGTGTCTTGTATGGTTACTTGTCATATGTGTGGCGCCGTAGACGAGTCCGTAGCACATTTGTTTTGGGAATGTATGCACTCGGCTGCCCTCTGGACAACAATGCAGTTTGCGACAGCAAGGAATGTTGATGGGGAGTTTGTGGACTGGTTTTTTGGTTCCCTGTCGGGATTGAGGGATGAAATGCAAGCTAAGTTGGTGATGCTGTGCTGGGGTTTGTGGAGTAGTAGAAACGATGCAGTATGGAAGGGGAAGCCGTTTGTTAGGGAGACTGTAGTGCATGAAACTTTGACCTTTTGGCACAATTGGAAGGTGGTGAACGGCAGTGGTGGGAGGCCAGGGGAGATGGTTATGGCAGTATGGGTGAGGCCGGCTGCGGGAAGAATGAAATTGAACACAGATGCCGCATTGGGTAGTAACCATGGTGTTATGGGGTTAGGGTGGGTTCTCCGCGATGATGCTGGGTTGTTTTTGGCGGCATGTAGTAGGCGGGTAGATGGGCAGTACATGGTGGAGGAGGCGGAGGCTTTGTGTCTTCGTGAGGCTGTGTTGTGGATACGGAATACAGGCATGGGGGAGGTGGATTTGAAATCGACTCGCAGCTATGTTATCATGCAATGGAATCGGCACCTTTTAGTTCCGCGTTTGGTCTGCTGATACAAGATGTAAAACAGGTAGCTTCTTCCATAGGGGGGGGGGGGGATTACCTTTTGTTATGCTAGGACATCTGCGAACCGTGCAGCCCATGCTCTTGCAAGGGAAACCGTTTCAGAGACAGGTCCTGGTGAGTGGTTAGATGTACCACCACATTATCTTGTTGATGTTCTTGCTTCAGATTTAATAAATTGAGTTCAGTTCTTCAAAAAAATAATTAATGTTATAAAAAAATTAATGTTAATAAAAATTATTATTTACATTACAAATTATATTTTATATTAAACTAATTAAGTTCGAACTAAATTATATTAAACTAACTAAATTCAAACTAATAATTGAAAAATAAAATTATTTTAGTGTAAAAGTTTGGTGTTTTGGTGTAAATGGGTTGGAGATTAATAAAATTTGGTATGAGAATATGCTGAGAATATTCCTTCTGATGTGACATTTACTGGAAAAGTTTGATGTTTTGGAGTTGGATTGGTTGGAGATGCTCTAAATTGACATATTAGCCCTAGAGATATGTATATTGAATAGTATAAGATGTTTATTCTATACATTTATAGATTTTTAATTATTTTTATATCTTTTTAATTTAAAAAATAGAAATAAAACTTTATATTGAATACACTATTACCAATGTTGAATGATTTCTATAAGTACTTATTATTTATAT